GAGAACTATATCCCTTCACGTTCAAGGCCAATCTCGTTCGCATTTCTCGTTGTTGAGCGCAGAGAGAGAGAGAGAGAGAGGAACGCTGATAAAAAGACAACCCTAACGAGGCGTTAACACCTCAAGGAATTCTCAACATATATATATTTATATAATGAGAGAAAGAGAGAGAGAAGCCTTTTCATCGAGGAGAAGATTTCTATCGCTCATCGAGTCTCACAAAGAAATACTTGTTTAACTCGCAATTCGATTTATCATGAAGAAGAAATTATATTACTAACGAAACGAGAGAGAGAAAGAGAGAGTTGAATACAATCCTCTCATTGCTGTGGTTTCATATTTCAAACTATAAAGAATGTTTTTGATTCGTCAATTAATGCGCTTGTCCAAGAGTTTTTTAAAAATGGCTGCCACAATTCCAAACAGCTGATTATGCCTCATATTTAAGGAGAAATTGACGAAAACTACTTTTTTTCTTTATAAATATATTAATTTAATAAGTTAATATTATTATAATTATAATTAATTATTATTTAATATAATTAATAAATAATAATAATAATAATAATATAACTAGTTTTTTATAATAATTAGTTATAGTATACTTTATAGTTATAGTTAGTACTATAATAGTACTATAATTAGTTATAGTACATAAAAAATTAATTTTATTATTATTATTATTATAGATAATTTTTCCTTTTTTCAAAAAAAATACTGTTCACAACTGAATAAAATGGTTTCAATAAATTGTAACGGGAATTTAAAATAAAAATATTAACCACATAATCAGCAAAAAAAAAAAATATTTTCAATTTGTATTTATTATATATATACAAATTTTAAGTGCGAGGTGCTAAGCGCGTTTTATTATATATTATTTATATTTTTCTTTGCTGTTTATTTTTTTTGCATTCAATTTTTTTTTTTTTTTTTTTTTCTTTTGTGAACTTGGGAAATCGTGAAGTGGGTGCGAGACGAGACCCAGAAGCGATGATGAGACAGGACTACCGGATTCCAGAATCGACTTTGAAACACAAATAACATGAAATGAGCAAACAACTACCAACTCTCTCGCGTCGTCTCTCAGTCAGCAAACTGTTCTCTTCTTTTGCCTCTGGTCGAATACATTTTTACCGTGTTTCAGAAAAATAAATATCTGTACAATTGAAAAAGTTGGACTGAGTTGTTGAAAGATTTTTTTTTTTTTTTAATATACAAATTTGGTTTGTCAAAAGAAAATTAATAAATAATAATCATTATTATTAAATTAATAAGTAATAATAATTATTATTAAATTAACAAATAATAATTGTCATTAAATTAATAAGTAATAATAATTATTAAATTAGTACCTAAATAATAATAATTATTATTTTCCTAGTAATATTTATTGATTATTTATTTATTAAATAAATAAATTTATTTATTAAGGCCAGTACCACAAAGTAGTTTTAAAGGCTACTTCTACAATACACTTTGAGAAATTACGATTTTCAGAAATTTAAGGTTGGTTTCCATTGTCCCCACTTGCCATTATTTTCGTCAACTACCGCACACTGCTCTAGTAAACATTTAGTGACTTTATTGTTAAAATTAAAAGTTACTATAAAGTTACTAAATTTTTACTAGAGCAGGGTGCGGTAGTTGACGAGAATTATGACAAATGGCGAGTGGTGACAATGGAAACCAACCTTAATACTTCCTTTAAGGCCGATTCTGCAATGTAGTTTTTAAAGTCAATTGTACAATCTATTTTTAAAATCTGCCTTTACGAAAATTTATTTATTATTTTTATTTATTTATTATTTTTTTTCTTTATTATTATTATTATTATTATTTATATTTTATTTTTTTAAGGCCGATTCTACAATGCACTTTTTAAAAACAATCGCAAAATGTATTTTTAACGTCTGCCTCTACAAACATTTATTTAATAACATTATTTACTAATTATTATTTTCTTTATTATTAATTATTTTCTTAAAGTCCGATTCTGCAATGTAGTTGTACAATGTATTTTTAAAATCTGCGCGCGCATCCAGTTTATGGTGGGGATAACCAATTTTCGATTGGTCATTATCCCCACTCTTTTTAAATAAAACGCAGTGTTCTCTAAAAAAAACGATGAAAAAAATTAATATCTATTTTTTTCAATACAAAGTTACAAATTTAAAAGAAGAAAGAAAAAAATTAACTGAAATTTCAAGGAGACAATTTAATTTCCCTTTAACAGGCTTGTTACCAGAACCGACTTGTAATTAATAATTGCAAAAAATAATTCAACTCCTGGAAGAATATATAAAAGTATATATAAATAATGTAGCAATGCTTTGCATGCGTGATAGCGCCCAACCAATTTTTTTTCATCATTATTATTATTATTATTATTATATCTTGAGGCTCGATCACTCAACGAGAAAATTACCCCAAGAATGATTGGTCGATGAGATTATTGGCAAAAGAGGACCAATAATTAGAGACAAATTATCGTGAGTGTTTGTTTTACTCACTGGCTTGGATAAAAATGCAGGTGTGTGTGTTTTTTTTTTTTTTGGTTAACTATGGACGCTCACTTTTTCTCCCCTTCTTTTTTTCTACTCCATGGGAAACATTAAACTCTTCGTACAATAATAATAATAAGTGTATTTTTCGAAGAAAAACTATTATTTTTTACGGCAATAAATTCCGCACTGGTTTTTTTAAAAGCAAAATTCCAAAGAAGTATAATAAATAAAAAATAATACACACTTTCTTTTTAATTAATAAAATATTTTCAATTGTAGACGGACCATTATAGTCTTCGGACTATAAGAAAATATTTTCCATTGTAGAGAGACCTTTATAGTTTTGTCGGAATATAAGAAAATATTTTCCATTGTAGAGAGACCTTTATAGTTTTGTCGGAATATAAGAAAATATTTTCAATTGTAAATGGACCATTATAGTTTTCGATTAATAACAAAATATCGTCTATTGTATATCGGACCATTACAGTCTTCGGACTATAAGAAAATATTTTCAATTGTAGACGGACCATTACAGTTTTTGGTTTATAACAAAATATTGTCAATTGTAGACGAACCATTATAATTTTCGGACAATTTAAAACTGATTCTACAATATGTAATTATGTTCCATTGCAATGTATTAGTAAATTGTTAAGCGTATAGTGTTTATTTTCTATACCATTGTGGAATTGGCCTAATCCGAGATGTGCAGTAGTTTTATTTAACATTCACGCATGCGCAGTGGTGTTGTACGCATGTTACACATGCGCAGTAACGTAATATGGTATTTACGCATGCGCAACAGTGTTGTACATGCGCAGTGGGGTAATATGACATTTACGCATGCGCAGTACTGTTATGCGATGTTAATACATGCGCAGTAGAGTTATACACGTCCTATGCATGCGCAAAAATGTAATAAGACACCTATAAACGAAAAAATAATGCAAAAATCAAATTTGCTAACAGAATATAAAAATAGGTCGTACGCTACATTGTTTGAGATAGAACATTTTTTTTAACGGGTATAAATATTGCTTTTTGGGTCGTATATATATATATATATATTGTTTTTCTCCTTCCTTTTTTCTCTTTTCTCTTCTTGGGATTGCAATTTGGTTAACGAGAGAGGTAAAGGAATGGGAATACGTACATATATAATTATACAATCATGAGTTTGGGTCCAGAGAGTGAATTCCCCAGTATCCAAGAGTGCTTCTCTTCTTCTTCGTCTTCTTTTCTTCTTCTCACTCCTCATACCTCTCTCTACTTCTCCCTCCTCTGTTTTTCAAGGCGACCCTGAACTTTCTCAGGTACTTAAAACAGGCCCAAACTCACGACTGTGTTTGTGAGTCTTTCAAAGAGAGAGAGAGAGAGAGAGAGAGAGACGAAGCAATCTTTCGAAAAAGAAAGAGTTAGAGAACGACGAAGACTGGAACTTATAGAACGTACTTCTTTGCGTTTGCATGTCCTCTTCGACGCGACCGGTTTGCTGGTTTTAGGTTTCATCGAAATTGTACGCGACGATTCTCGCACGCCGGGAGCCTTTTAAAATAATTATTTGTTAAAAGAAAGCCACATTTTTCTTTGTCACGATTCAAACAAGGAGAGAAGAGTGAGGGGGGAGGAGGGGTTAACCCCCCACTTTTTATTTTGGTCCTCTAATTATTATTATTATTATTATTATTATTATTATTTTTACTATTATTTTTATTATTATTTTATTGCTATTATTGTTATTGTAATAATAATAATAATAACAACAACAACATATTATTGTAAACAGACAATTATTGTTTTCGGACAATTGAAAACCAATTCTACAATAAATTAATTTAGAATACAATTGCAAATTATGTCAATTGAATTGTTATAAGTAGCGTTTTGTAGTATAAACAATTGTAGAATTGGCCTAAGACTTACAAATATTTGTAATGGTCTTTCAACAATACAAAAAAAAATTAGTTTTTAGTGGAAAATAATTTTTATTCTTTTCATTTTTTTTATCTATTTATTAAATTTGCGCATTTTCGATGTATTGTAGACGGACAATAATTGTTTTCAAACAATTTAAAACCGTTTCTACAATGGATTAATATTATATACAATTGCAAATTGCGTCAAATTTAAATTTGTTATGAGTAGCGTTTGCATTGTAGACGATTGTAGAAATGGCCTAAGACTTACGTAATCGTGTAAGGGTCTTTCTACAATGCAAAAAAAAAAATTTTTTTTTTTCTATTTCTAAGTGAAGTTAAATCTAAAGATTGTTAAATTGGCCTAAAACTTACGCAATCATCCGCGAAAGGGTCTTTTTACAATGCAAAAAAAAATCGTCACGAAAAAAGGGGCAATAAGGGTAAATATAGAATTTTTTACGAGTAGCGTTTTTGCATTATAGACAATTGTGGAATAAAGCCTAAGATTTAAGGTCTTTCTACAATGCAAAAAAAATTTTTAAAAAAAAATTTTTTTTTCTTCTATTTTTAGGTGGGTGGTAATTTGTGCATGGTGGTGTATTGTTGCAAGAAAATGGACAAAATCACCGGACAATTGTAAAGAAAATGGATTTGGCCTACAACATGGATTTTCAACTGTGGGTTCAGTTGCTGCTTGGGGACTTCCGGCTGCACATACAATTGCTGTTTTAGTAACAAGAGACGTTGACGCTGATGAACTCAGTGGTAAGTGTTGCCATAAATAAATAAATAATTATTATTATTTTTATTATTATTACTATTATTATTATTATTATTATTCCCTATGAAAAATTGACTACTGGCGCAGTACTGGTACCAGAATCGCGCCAGTACTCCTCCAGTAGTCAATTTTTAATAGGGTTATTCTAAACCAATTAATATTTTAATAATTTTTTTTTTTTCAAATTGACTTGAATATTACGAAAGAAGTGTGATTAAAAGAAAAGAAGATGAAAAAAAAATGAAAATAATATTTCCGTGGAACAAGCTCGAGAGAAATGTGAAGGAGCCTCTCCTCGAAGGTTTCTCAGTTAGGTCTCGTTATGCTGCTTGGTTTATGAGACTGATGTCCATTGGCGTAGTTATGTTTGAGTGTTGTCTTTGGTAAAAAAAAAGTGCAAAATGTCTTTAATTTTAGATGCGAAAAAAAACAAATAATAATTGTTTTAAAAAAAAAATTTATTAAAAAAAAGAAAAAATTTTTTGAATTTTAGAATTCTAAAAAAAGAAAAAATTTTAAAATTCCAAAAAGAAAGAGAAGAATTTAAAAATCATAAACTTTTGAAAATAATGTAAATTTTCTCGAAAAATTTATTTATATTCCCATTTGTTATACAATTCTATCTTAAAAACAATTATTATTATTCTCTCTCTCTCTCAGTGTTCATGTGCGGCTCTAATCTTAGAAATGTTTGGAATAATATAGATTGTTTATCTTTTACTATCTAAATTTACGCTTGAATTGATAGATATATACATATATAGATATACATCTCTCTCTCTCTATCTTGATAGTGTTCATTTGATGTTTCAATCTATTCACTTCACTATATCTTTTGAAAAGTTGGGATTTTTTTTTCTGTTTTCATTATTGTACGCGCTCCGATTTATATCTCTTTAAATAAACAAAAATACACTTGAAAAAAGATCAACTATTATTGACGTGTGTTTACGTTATTCAAAAAAAAAAAAAAAAAAAAAAATGAAGAGCAAGAAAACTACAATTTACTGTAAAATTAAATATATTTAAAAAAAATTGAATTTTTATTTAAAATATTTTTTAAAAAAATATAGAAGAAAAAAAGTATACATAATCGATAGGGAAAAAAACAATTTTGTTTTCTTAGAAGAGAACATTTTTACATGAGTAACGTTTAATTTTAAGAAAAAAACAGTTGATTTTTAAAAAATTTCCTCAATTTTCGATTAGCGGTTTAAATTTTCTTTAAATCTGATGCCAAATTCGTAATCAGCGACCCCAAAAACCCCCGAGCAGTGATTTTCAATCGAATTTGAGCGATTTTGAAAAAAAATTTCCACCATATTGGATCCGCCATTTTGAATTTTGAAAATCTGTTACCAAATTCGTAATCAGCGACCCCTAAAACCCCCGGGTAACTAGTTTCAAGCAAATCCAATGAATTTTCAAAAATCCGCTCACCATATTGGATCCGCCATTTTGAATTTTGGAAATGCAATACCAAATTCGTAATCGGCGACCCAAACAACCCCCGGAGTAGGGATTTTCAATCGAATTTGAGCGATTTTGAAAAAGACTTTTCTCCATATTGGATCCGCCATTTTGAATTTTTAAAAACATAAGGCTAAAAATAATGTGGACTTAAGGCCCAAAAAGTAAATTTCTGAATTTAGTAGAAAATTACAATTTTGTTCCCTAAGACATAAATATATATATACATAGTAATTTGAGGCCTCATTGCAAAAATATAGGGCCCAATTTTTTTGGGGGCCTTAGGGACTCAAAATCTTTTTCAATTTAGATCAAATTTTTATTTATTAATAAAATAAGGCCCAATTTTGAAAGAGACTTAGTTTAGTAAATTTTTGTAATACATAAAATATAAAGCCTAATAAGGTGGGATTTTGGGGCCCAAATTTTTTTTTTTGGGACTTATAGTACAAAATTTCTTTTGGAACAAAAACAGTTTATTTTTTACAAAAAAAAAAAATAATTTGTACCGTAAATCCCAAAAATAAATTTTATAATTATAAATATTTCTTTATATATTGGGACTTAGGACCCAAAATTTTTGGGACTTAAAAGTTTTTTTTTGAACTTACTGTTTAAAATTTTTTTTTTTTAAAGATAACCGTTTATATACAAACGTTTTTTTTCCAAAAAAAATTTTGTACTGTAAGTCCCAAAATTTTTGGGTCCTATGTCCCAATATTTATTTTTTTTTAATATATTAGAATCAAATCAAACGGAATTTTGTAGGTGGGGAAGAAATATTTTTCAAGATTTAATAATAATAAATAAAAAAAAAAAAAAAAAATTACTGTCGGTGAATAAGTAGGAGAGGGGGTATATAGTTGGATGTCGGAAAAGATGAAAGTAACCGATTCTACATATATATATATATATAAAGACCTAAGGAATCCTTTGGAGACTTTTCAAGTCCGAATTTCTTCGAGTTAACCACACGACGGTTGATTATGCTAATACGAAACGAGAGCTCTGTTTATAATGCTGCCGGATAACTTTTATATATATATATATATATATGTATGTGTGTGTGTTAGTATCGCGCGCGGAACGCAAGAAACGCAAAACTATATATATATATATAAGATTAGCATCTTGGAATTGAAACGCACGCCTTTTCCATAGTACAAAAGAACGTTTTTACCATTTGCGACTTTTAAAGCAACTTTCTGCAAATGGCCGACAATTTTCATTATCTTTTTTTACCCTAGAAGCATATCTGTTTCAAAGTAGAATTTTTTTGTTAAAATTATTCTCTCAACATGTGAATATTATTATTATTATTATTAAATTTGTACTTTAGCGAATACAATGTAGGGGAAAAAAAACTATTCTTGGAATTATGCGAACATAACAATTTAGAAGTCGATGATGGTTACATTTTGGATTGGGGAATTTTGAAATAGGCATTAAAAAAAATTCCAGTTATTAATACAGGGAAAGAAGCGAACATAATCTTAAAAATTCCAATTAAAAGTGAGGTAGCGAACATAACCTTAAAAAATTTTTTATTAGAAGTCAAATAGCGAATATAACCTCAAAATTCTATTTACAAGTCAAGTAGCGAACATAACCTCAAAAATTCAAATTACAAATTAAGAAGCGAGCATAACCTTATATTTAAGATGATAGTTATTACGATAATAATAATAATAATAATAATAATAAAAATAATGGTAACAATTAAAATTATTATAATATAATAATAATAATTATAATAATAATTATTATTATTATCATACATAACCTGAAAAGTGAGGACGATAACATAACCTCTAACCTTATATCTAACTATTATTTATAATAATTATAACAGAGGTCAAGATAAACGTTAAACTAAACATAACCTCAAAAAATGTATGTCAAAAATACATGTAATTTCATTAAAAAAAAAATGGTTATACGTTTTCTAAACTTGCAGGTTCAACAAACGAGAAATTATAAACATGAGTTTCCGCGTTATTTTTGTTTTTTTTCTTATTTATTTTTTTTTTTTTTTTGAAACGAACATAACCATCAAGATTGTAAATTTTAAAGAATGCAAAAAGTTGTTTTCCTCTTGTATATCTGTATATATGCATGTGTTTAATTTTTTTTTGGTATATGAACAAAAACATAACCTCTATTTTTTCTTACTCTCCCCTTCTCTCTCTCTCTCTCACTCTTGTTGTACATTGACATTAACTTACAATATAAAAGCCGGACAGATTGGTATTTGAAATACTTGATAATAAAAAGTTGTCAGTCAACAATGATGCGTTTCAGGCACGCGACGACTTGTTCTCTTCCTCCTTTACGCTCTTCGATCCGTTACCCCCTCACCCCCCTCTCTCTCACTCCTTCCTCTACTCTATTACTCAAATTTCATTGGTTAACATTTTTTTTTCTCTCTTTCTCACATTTCTCTCTCTCTCTATCTCATGATAATTATCTTACGAATTTCGATTTTCTGTTGAGGTTATGTTATGTGAAGAATTTCAAAACTTTGATACAAACATGTCGAGTATTCCAACAATCGCGTGCCATTCATTCAGTGTCTTGATATTTTCGCACGCGTTGTCAGTTTGTTAAATGATCTTGACACAATTATATAAATGCGAGGGTGAAGAGAAATTGTGGCTTAATGGTTCTTTTTTCGTTTTTTTTTAGTAATAATATAATAATAATAATAATAATAAATAATAATAAAAATTATATTAATAATAATAACATAATTTTTTTACAATTATTCAAAAAAAATTCTAACATAACCTCAAAATTTACGATTATATAAGTCAAGTGGCCTCACTGGGTTAAGAGACTAAAATCGGCAAACATATAACCTCAACAATATGTATCAAATGACGATTATATCTTCCGAAATACAAAGTTGATAGGTTCCAGGGTGAACATAACTTTAAAAACAAAAAGAAAAAAATAACGAAAACCGAAAAAAAGTCAAACATAACCTCAAAAGTAAGTCAAGATTTCGATCAAGTAGTAATTTCAAAAGGTAAAATTAAAAGTCAAAAACATAGTTCTAAAAACGAACATAACCTTTAAAACTTTAATATAGATTTATTTTCTCGTTAGGTAAATTAAAAAAATAAAAAAAATTGTTATTTTCAATCTCAACAATTACAACTTTTGAATCTCGGGGCAGTTATAATCACAAGATACAGAGAGAAATAAAAGGGGGTTAAGGGGGACGGGGTGGGGGGTGGGAGTTCATTTCGTTGGCCTCGACTTTACCGGTATCTTTGTAGTCATCTTGTTTCGTGAAACACGAGTGCTCAATGAGATCAGACCTGGTTCGAATATATATATATATAAAAGAAAGGCCCCTCCCTCCCCCCTTATAGTATAGTGGAACTTTGCGAACGCATACTAACTTGTACCCGCAGCCTCTCTCTCTCTCTTTCTTCTTTGGTATATATCTACACGTTCTCATCTAAATTGCTTCTCATTTTCTCTTCTTCTTTACAACTATGCTCCCACTCCTCCTTCACCCCCTTGAAGAATCTTTCTTGACCCTTCCTTTGCTTTCCCCCTTCTGTAACCCCCCTTCCACCTTTTTCTCCCTTCCATTCCGCGAGCCTCAACCTCGGTCTTTGGATGCTGCATCCCTATGGCCCCCATCGTCTTTTTCTTCTTCTTCTTTTTTCCTCTACTTATAAGAACTGAAGCCCTCGAGTAGGTCGATCACCTTCGAAAGGTGTTGAAAGGTTATTTTGTACAATATCCCCCTTTCGGTTTTTACCACAGAAAAATTCTTTTGGCGAAAATAATATAAATTTTTTTATTGGAGGTTTTTTTTTAAACACATTGCTTGTTTCATTGTTATTTACTTTAATTTTACGTAGTAAAAATATTGGAAAGTTGAAATTTTATTTTAAAAAAACAATTGTTTATTCTCGAAATATGATTGAAAAAGTTGTGATTTTGAAAATTAGTGTTTGTATATTGTTATTGCGCAGTTATAAAGTTGAAATGTACTTAATGCGCAGCTATAGATACCATAGAGATCTACTGCGCAGCCATAGATACTATACAGATCTACTGCGCAGCCATATATGCTATGGAGATCTACTGCGCAGCTACAGATGCGCAGCTATAGATACTATACGGATCTACTGCGCAGTCGTAGTTTGTAATATCATAACTGTCATACAGAACTACTAGGCAGTCATAATCGTACTGATCTACTGCGCAGGTAATTAATTCCGCGCAGATCTATTGCGCATCCATAGAAGTTCTACATTGATCTATTGCGCATTCATAATGTTTCTATACTTTTACTGCACAGCAAAAAGATAACAAACCAATTTTTAATATTGAAATAAAAACCAAAAAATAAATGTACTTCTACAATTCATTTTTTATTATGTCTCTAAAATTTTTTTAACAAGAAAAAATTAATAATTTAATTTATATATTATTCTTTTTGAACAAAAAGGAAAAATTTAATAAACTGCGGCATTGTATTCAAAAAATACATTGGGCACAAAATTTACTTCGCTATCGTTAAATCCACCTTCCCTTACTTCCTCTCCCCCTACATCCATGAATGATCAGGCCTTTGTTCCGGGAGAGTATTTAATGTCCCCATCGTATTGCAAGTGTCTTTTCCCGTGTGTATATGTTTTTAATGGGCATTCGGCGCGGGAATCGTCTTTTATTATCAAAAAAAAAACAAAAATAAATAAAGGACACATTTTTTTTTACACGGGTGCTACTTGCGGCTGCCCTTATAATTCTCATGCAAAAAGGGTCTTCGTATATGTATACGAAAGGCACGTTGTCGTGAACGAGCCGCTAAACGCATTCTACGTCTTATGTATATTCCCTCGTGGGTTCTTCTCATTTCTTTTTTTTTTTTACTACACTTTGAAACCACCACAAGGGTCGGGAGCAGGGAAAAGAACCTTGAAAGATTTGCATAGGCCTCGGATTTACGCGCTCTAGCCGCGCGAACCTCGTCTTTCTATTGCGGTTATGTGCTTTGATTTTTTGTTGTTTTTGTTTTTCTCTTTATTCGTTTGAAAAATATAAAAGCCAAAGTATTACCTATTTCGGTAAAAGGTGTACGAGTCGTATAGATTTTACGATGCAGAAGAGTTGTTTTTATTTTTATATTTTCGTATACCATTTATATGTACATATTGTGCGCAACCATAAATATCAAATGTGTCTAGGTTGAGGCCATAAAGTTTAAATATGTCTAGTGCGCAGCCATAAAGTTCAAATATGTCTAATGCGCAGCCATAGAGTTCAAATATGTCTAATGCGCAGCTTTAATGTTCAGAAATTTCTACTGCGCAGCTAATTAGTCTTTATTGTTTTATATATTCTTCAAGTTGGGATCTACTGCGCAGATTTTGGTTTTATTTATTCCTTGCTATAAAGCGGTAAATGATATTAGGATCTACTGCGCAGGTATTGTTTTTGTTTATTTCTTGCTTTATAGCCATAGATGCTATTAGGATCTACTGCGCAGGTTTTGGTTTCGTTTATTTCTTACTACGCAGCGATAAATTTTTTTTGGATCTATTGCGCAACTTTTGTTTTACTATATTTTGATACAATGTGACTACAACAATTATGTTTGAATGTACTCTACACCGTTAGATAATATTTCAATATTTTTGATATTTTGATTTCGATAATTTCGATATTTGGATCTACTGCGCAATCGAAGACGACATTTTGATCCATCATTTTGATCGCAATAGTCAGAGAAAAAAATTTTTGTCACAAAAATACAGAAAATTTAAAATATTTGTCAAAAAAATTTTTTTTTCAAATACACGTAAATTACGAAAAAGATCTATACGATATTTTCGGTTGCGCGGTAGATCTATATTGCGATTATGATTACGCGATTAAATATATATAGCTTCCACGGCTGCGCAGTAGATCTCTAAAGAATTTATAGCTGAAAAATAGATCTTCTTAGTCTCCATGGCTGCGCAGTAGATCTGTGTGGTTTCTATCGATGCGCATTAGATATGTATGACATCTATGGCTGCGCAGTAGATCTCCATAGTATATACGTCTGCGCAGTGTATCTGTATGACATCTACGGCTGCGCAGTAGATCTGTATAACACTTAAGTCTGCGCAGTAGGTTATTACATCATAAATAACACCCAATTAATGTATTTTAGTGCAAAATTTTCAATTTCCCCTAACTCCAAACCAACTAATTAAAATAAAATTTCGCTAAGAACAAAGTTACTCACATTTTCATTGCCCATCTATCTAATATAAAAAAATAATTGTTCTCCAATATTTATTGTTACAGGTAGCTGTTTTGTTGGACAACAAAGTACACGATCACTACTGGTCCTTGTGCTTGCTCCTCAATTTGTCTATCTAACATTGGGTTCAACATTTTTCCTCGTTGGAACTGCCGCCCTTCTATTTCCCCGTCCCTCAGTGAGTCCAAGTCAAGTACTAAAACAACTTCAGCCTAACACACTAATTAGAAATCAACGCGATGGCGCTAAATCACCCGCAGAACTCTATAAACGTCAAAAGAAACTTATCATTCGAATTGGTGCCTTTATTTGTTTCTATGGTCTTGTTATGATTTGCCTGACTTGTACAATTTTCTACGAATGGTGGGGAAGAGATTCATGGCTTAGAGCACCGGAACCATCAAAAGCGCCTAAAGTCACGTCAAAACCACTACTACAAGTGTTTATTTTACGTATTATCGTTTTTCTTGGAGCGGGAATGATTTCAGCCGCATGGATATGGTGGCCAAATGCAATAAGTGTTTGGCGACGTTTTCCACCGTGTAAACAACCACCACATAAATGTCATCCACATCCACATTCACATCCACATCAAGTGCAAGTGCCCGTTGTCAGATGTTACAGTACTGGTTCCACTACTCCCACTCCTCATCAGTTGCATCATTTGGGACGTCTATCCCCACCGCAGCATCCATTGCTTCATCAGCATCCAATTGTCATCAATAGTCAACAATTGCCACACAGAAATCATAAGAAACATCGGAAACATCGAAAACATCATAGTGGAAGTGAGACACGTGTTTGAGATAAAAAAAAAAAATTGTTTAATTTCAGATCTCATAGAGAGAGAAGACTCAAAAAAATTTTTGGAAAATTTTTGACTAAAGAGGCCCCTGAGGGGTTCTTGAGCCATCACTGGACTTCTCTGATTGGCCAATCACGTACGTGCCTCTGTGATTGATGCACTTTTTTTAAATGCGTTTACTATGAATAAATTTTAGTTTGAGCTTAAGGGAAAAAATATATAATTTTCGACACTAGGGTCGAAAATTGGTATTTTATCGCCATTTTTCATTCACAGTGCCAATGTAAATATTATTTTCTATTATCGTAATTTGTACTATATTTATATTATATTGAAACGAGACTTTTCTTATAAATTCAAATTCAATTATTTGAAAAAAAATAAAATTCAAAAATTTTTTTTTGAAAATTCAAAATTTTTTTGAATTAAATTAAAATAATTATTTTTTTGGAAAAAGTAAACAAATTTGGTAAAAATTGAATGCTCTATAAAATAGAGGAAAAATTTTTTTTTTTCAAAAATTTAAGAAAAATTATTTTTTTGTTAAAATAATAATTGAATTTTTCAAGACTGTATATATATATTAACTATAATAATTATAATAATATTACTGAATATTATAGTATTAAGTGTATATCTGTATATATTTATTATTTTTGAAAAAAAAAATTTAATTTTTTTTTTTAACTTTTTTGAGATAATCGAAAATTTTTTTTTTAAAAAAGAAAATTTTCATTCTGTATCAAAGTCTGCACAGCAGGCAAGTATTTATGAAGGTATAAAGAGACCCAATCTTATAAATATATATATATATATAAATTGTAATTGAATCCTGATTGTAATTCGATACACACTATATGGAGAGAAATTTTGCATTTAATGCGGTGTGGTCTCTTTCATCTTTTATTATAGGACTATTATAAACGACAAAAATTATTTTTTAAAAAAAAGAATTTTTTTAAATTGTATTTATAAAAAAATTTATACATTTTACAATTTAATAAAGAAGAAAAAATTGTCACGCATAGCGTTTGGCAGATTTTCTGAATAGTCAGAGAAAAATAATAATTACTTTTTTTTATTTTTACCTTTTTTCTTTAGGTTTTCAGAAAAAAAATTTTTTTAAATTAAATTCGTGTAAAAATTTTTTTTTAGTATTTTCGGTCGTTGACAACAAATTTGAGGTTAGTTTTCATAAATTCAAAATGGCAACACCAATATGGCGAAATTTTTTATTCTAAATTCATTAATTTATGGTAAAAAAAATTTTTTTTTGAATTTTTTTCAGTCGTTGATTGTTGTAAAACAGATAAAATGATGATATAAAAATTTACCGACATAGAAATCTACATTACCGACTGACGGTGAAACTGTTTTTAAAATGAAAATATAAAACATTACTGACATAGAAATCTACTTTACCGACTGATGGTAAAAATGATTAAGAATTTGAGGTTAGTTTTCAATAATTCTTTGAAATCGGAATTTTCTCATAAAAAATTGATAAATTTTTGCATATTAAAAAAAAATATTGAAATAAATAATATTTGTTTAAAAAAATTTTCAAATTGTCCTTAATTTTTTTTTGTCTTTTTTTCTCTCTCTTCTTTTCTAACTTATTGAAGTGTTGTATGAAGGAGATCCTTTTGTTAGACATCTATAAAAAGTAATTCAATCCAGCAGGATTTTATGTTTGCGCCTTTTTGAAAAGAGAAGCGCGTGAAATGACAAAAAAAAATTTTTTTTAGATTCTTATTCTTTATATTATATTTATATATTGTTATTTCGGCGACTCGTTTGACGTTCTCTATTCAAAGTAAGAAATCTTCCTTAAATTTTTTTTTTTTTTCGTTAAGACAAAAGAAAATTTTTTTGTTCTAATGCTGTTTATACCGTAAAAGAGAGAGGGTGGAGGGGGGGGGAGAAAAAAATTTGTGGTAAAAAATTTCAAAACAAAAATAACACAACATTTCCGGTTATTGAGATTTTTTTTATTTTATTTTTTTTTAAAGTGACATTAAAAATATATTGCATTCACATTTAATTAAGATATTTAAAAAGAATTTTTTTTTATTTACCCAAACATTTTTTTCTAATAATTTATTATACAAATTTTTGTACTTAATTAATTTATATTTAAATTTTACAAAAATATTTTTTAAATATTTATTTTTCAAAAATTTTAGTTAAATATAAAAAATTAATTTTTATGAAAAAAGTAATTTGAGAATTTTTTGAAAATTAAATAAATAAATAAAAATAAAAAAATAAATAAATAAAAATGTTATTTTAAAAAGAAAAAAATTTATTTATTTATTTTTAATAAATAAATAATCTTAGTTTTACGAAAAATAATTATTAATTAATTATGTAATTAATTAAATTATTTTTAATAAAATTTTTTGTAATTTTTTTTTTTTTATTTAAAAGAAATATTAATTTTTATTAATTTTCTTTTTTTTTGTTTTCCTAATATTGATTTTAATTTTCTTACTTTCGTTTTGTATTTTTTTTTTTTATTCCTTAACAACCTTTAATTTTTCCTGTATAAGTCAAATACATATAATCCAAAATGCGACGTTCAGGAACTTCGTGTGTGTAAAATCGAATTTTGAAAGAAACTGGTTTGCCGCATCTAAAAAATTTTGGTGGTTTCATTTTGGAAATTACTATTTTTTTGTTGATCACTTTTCCCTGAAAATTATTTTTATATTTTTTGTATTTTACAACTTTTTTTTTAAAAAAATAATTTTTTTTTCAATAAAATTTTTTAAATAATTAATTTTTTTTTAAGAACTTTTTTTGAAATAATAAAATTTTTTTCAAAAATAAAATTATTTGAGTAAACAATTTTTTTTTTCAAAAAAAATAATTACAGGTTTTATTGGTGCATCAGGTTTTGATGCAACAAACAATGTTGTCAGTTCTTTGGCAAATTTTCTTTCAGTATCATTTCCATAGTTCATGCGTAGTTCCACAGGATTAATTACTTTATTTTGTAGTGGATCATCTTCGTATGCAATTTCAAAACTAAACTGCAAAAAAAAAAACAAAATATTAAAAAGGTTTTTTTGGAAAATTTCAAAATTTTTACTTTTTTAACATTTTTATTACCCAAAAAAATCGTTTCTTTCAAATATAAATGGAAATTTCAAAAAAAAAAATGTTGATTCAAAAATAAAAAAAAAATTTCGAAAAAAAATTTGGATTTTTAAATAAAGAAAACACTAGCTTCATGGTACTTGTTTTCTACTAATTTCAGGTCTGTGATTTCAAAAATAATGTCTAAAATGTTTAACACTAGCACCGTTTGTTATTATTATTGTTTTTTTACTACAATTTTTAATAGTTATTAATTTAGTCATATATTATTTGAAATAACCACCTTTTTTTAGTAGTAAAAATCGTAACATTGAAAAAAAACGTAAAATTTTCTATTTTCAAAAATAATGTTCATGGTACTCGTTTCCTACTAAATACAGGTCAACCTTTTCAAATCAGTCATCAAAAACATTTAATACTATCACTGACAAATATTTAAAAAAAAAATTCTTTTTTTAAATTTAAATTTAAATTTACATTAAATTTAAAACAATATTAAAAAAAATGAAACCTACTCGAATATTAGTTCTTTTCTTATTATAAGGACTTGTGTACGGTTCACCAATCAACCAATTAAGATTAATATTTCCAGAAAATGGTTTTCTTAAACTATCAATGCGATCGGCTTTTGTTAATTTATTAATTGGTTGTTTTGAATCATTAATCACTGATTCACAATCATTACTCAACACTGTTAAATGAAGATTTTTTGTCACTTTAAAACATGTTCGAGTGAGATTAAAATTTGGCGAACTACCAAATACATAATCAACAATTGAACCAAATAAAAAACAATTGCCACCCGTTATAAATGCACTAATAATAATAAAAGAAATTAATAAACAAAATTTATTTTCCATTGTCCTTTTTTGCACTTATTTTATTTTCAACTGTCAACAATTGGATTTTTTTTTAAATAATAAGTGAGAAAAAAAATAAAGAAACAAATAAATGAAAAACAGGTAGGAAAAAAAAAACTTTATCAAATACTTGACGTCAAGGTTTTTCCTACTTTTTTTTATCATATATAATTATTGACAAGTGACTTGTATTTAGGAAAATGTAAATTGTTCTATAATGGTTAAATTGTGACAATTAATATTTTTAGAAAATTATTTTTTGCATTTATTTTGGTTTTTGTTTATATTTTGTTAATTTTAGAAAGACATTTTTTTTTGTCCATTAGAACGAAAAATGGTTTTTAAATAGATTTTTTTATTTTATTTGTTTATTATATTTTTATTTATTTTATTTTTATTTATTTTATTTTTATTTACTAATTTTATTTTTATTTATTTATTTTATTTTTATTTATTTTTTTATATTAGCTACTATAGTAATAGTTTTTTTTGAGTTTTCATTTTGTTTTTCTATTTTACTCTTAATTTAGTTTTTACTTTTTTCGAATTTAGACACTTTTTCAAATGTAAATTAATTTTGCAGATAAGGTAGATTTTTTCTCGTTTCTTCACTGTCAGTCGGTAAATGATAACGATTTTTTCTTTATCAGACTATGGTAAGGAAGAAATCTGTTTATCAAGGTCAGCACTTTACCGACGAAGGAACATTTTTTATTTTATTTATTGTATTATTATTTATTATTTTATTACTTTTATTATTATTATTATTATTATTTATTCATTTATTAATTTTATTTTTTAAAAATATTGTTACCATCGAAAAACTTACAAATAATTTTTGTTTTTGTTTAAAAAATTGTCAATTATCCCTGGTAAATTAAAAAAAATTGTATATTACATATATAAAAGTAATAAAATTCTAATTTGGAAACTTTTTTTTACCATAAGAGAATCTTTAGTTACCATAAGAGAATTTTTATTTACCATAAGCGAAACATTAGTTACCATAAGAGAATTCTCTAGTTACCATAAGAGATTTTTTAGTTACCATAACACATTTTCTTTCAGTTACCTTTAGAGAAACATTAGTTACCGACAGAGATTTTTTTTTAGTTATCATTGGAGAAAAAGAAACTAAAAACTTTTAACATTAAAAATATTAATCAAATCATTTCAAAAGTAATTTTAAAAAATCTTTTTTCAATTTGAAATAAACTATTTAAGATTGTTTTTTAATAAATAATTAATAATTCAATAATAATAGTAATAATAATAATAAGTATTTTAATTTTTTAATTAATATTTGATTATTTTTCGAAAATATTTTATTATCATTAGAGTGAAGATTCTGTTACCATCAGTAAATTGTTAGTTACCATTAGAGAAATCTTATTGAATTAAAAAAAATTAAATAACTAATAAATAAGAATAAAAATAACTAATAAACTAACTAAATAAATTAAATAAATTAAATAATTGAATAAATCAAATAAATTAGATAAAAATAAATGAAAATAAATAAAAATAAATACTTAAAAAAAGTAAAAATAAAAAATTAATTAATTAATAAAATTGAAAATTAAAAATGATTTAATTTCATAAATAAATAAATTTGAAAAATAAAAAAAATTCTATATGTAAAAAATGGAAAAAGAGGAAAAATAGAAAGTGAGTTTTAGGAAAATAAAAGGCGTAAATAGTTCCAAAATACGATTTTATTAACTTGCCAGCTTACCTAATGCGCAATGCGCTCATTCATACACGCTTATCAAACCACTTTGATAACATACACACACATATACACACACACACTGTCACACCATATATAAAATCTAAAATTGTTTACTATTTAGACACCGTGACTCTTAGTCGTGATAAAGTTGTCCACTATAGGCTAGAAAATCGATATTTATCTACTATTTTTTTTCAATGTGAATACTTATCTCGTATCACTTCAATCGTGTCTCACTACATTTTTGTGGTTTTTTTTCAAATATTTTTTTTTTAAGCTAACGACGCCAAGAAATTTTCTTTTCAATTTTTTTAATAAAAAAATTTCCTTTTTATTTTCTTTTTTTTTAAATAACAAATAAATTAATTTAAAATTTTTTTCACCCCACTAATAAATAATTTTTCTAAATTTATTTTTTTTTTTTTGAAATTTTTTGGATTTTAAAAATTTTCTTTTTGGGAATTTTTACTAATAATAATAGTTTGTGTTTAAATTTAATTTTTGTTCTTACAAAAAAAAAAAAAAAAAAAAAAAAATTGTATATGAAATAATAAATTGTTTTTTTTTATTTCTTTTGGATTTTTAAAAATATGAAACTAAAATACAATTTTTTTTGTATGATAAAAGCATGAGAACAAGGAAATGTGGACAAAAAGAATTCCAAGAAAAAAGAAATCAAAAAATTACCCTTATTTTTGTTTTTTTAAAGAAACGGAATTTGAAATTTCCCGCCATTATTGGCGGTTTTTTAGTTTTTCAAATTTCGCGCAGTAAATTTAAAAAAAAAATTTTTTCGTTATGAAAGAAAATGGTCTTTTAAGGCGCTCTCACACCTTTTTGGCTGCCTGCAGGTTACCATGGCAACGCATGAGAGTGAGTGCGACAGAAAATTTAAAAATTTGAATATTCAAATTTTCTGTCTCACTCACACTCGTGCGTTGCCATGGTAACCTGCAGGCAGGCAGACAGCCAAAAAAGGTGTGAGTGCGCCATTAAAATCAAAATATTTTGAATTTTTTAATATACCGCGCGAAATTTGAAAAAAAAACCGCTAATAATGGCGGGAAATTTGAAATTCCGTTTCTTGAAAACGGTTTTTTGTTTAAATTTTGCGTGGTAATTTTAAAAATTCAAATTTTTCTTTTTGTTTACTAAAAAAGATAGTTTTTTTTATTAAAGTTAAAAAACGATTTTCTTTACAAAGAAATTAAGGCAATTAATTATTTTTTTTTTTTTTTTTTTATAGAATTCTTTTTGAACAAAAAAGAATAAGGAGCAGGCTATGGTAAATAAAAAAATGCAAATGAAACAAACAAGAACTGAAACCAACAAAATAAATATATATATATATTATTTCACATATGCCGCATGCTAATTGTGTTTTTTTTCTCTCGTAAAGACAATTTTTTTTTAGTTCACTTAAACAATGGGCATAAAATAATAATAATTGTAATAATAATAATTGTAATAATAATAATAATAGTAATAATAATAATAATAATAGTAATAATAATGATAATAATAGTAATAATAATCAGGCCCTCTATGAACTCAATAATAGCATAGGGGCCCAATCTACGTGGATTTTTTTTTCTCTCTATTTTTATCTACAAATGACGTACGCAAAAAAAATACTGCACACACAGCACATTTAAATAATGCCCACACACGACTTTTATTTTATATTTTTTAAGTAGAGGGGGGGGAATTGGATTTTTTTACCCTGTTCAAAAAATAAAAAAAAAAAAAACAGTAAGGAAAATAAGAATTATCTAATTAGAAAAAAAAAAAAAAAAATTTTCAAAAAAGTGGACCAAAAACAGGCGCACATTTTTTTTATTGTCCAAAATAAAACAAAACTCAAACTTTGCAATTTGGCCACAAAATTTTTTTCTCTCTCAGTCAATTTTTTTCTTTCTCTCTCTCTCTCTTTCGTATGTCACGTTGTCCCGAGACTTAATTGGAGAGAATTGTTCTTCACTTTGGCATCGATAATAAAAATGTCGATAATTCACTGGCTTGACATTCGCGAGAGAGAAAATAAGAGGGACAGTGAGAGAGAGAGAGAGTGGCCTGAAAGCACCACCGACTTGGACAGAAAAAAAAAATAATAAAATAAGGGTAAAAAAAGAAAATAATAATAATAAAAACTAAAACGATGGTTTCACGAGAAAGCAAAAGAAAAAAAATATATACTAATATTGAACGAAAAAAAAGACACTTATAAAAACTATGGGAACTCGACGAAAATAATAATAATAATAATAAAAATAATTATAATTAATAATAATAATAATAATTAATAATAATCAATAGCTAAACGCAACAGCGCCATATTACAAATAAATTCTATTAAAAAAATTCTTCATATACTATAAAATAATAATAATAATAATCAATCGACACACTAGTACAGAGCGAGTAAAATAACAATTTTTTTTACAAAAAAAAAAAAAAAATTTCTGAATTTATTAGAAAAAGACAAAAAATAATTAATTTTTTATAAATTTTTGCATTTTTACCACAAATTTTCCTAAATTTCCATAAATTACCATGGTTTACAATAAATAACCACTAATTTCCTGTAAATTTTCCGTTACATTTCATAAATTACACTAAATTTTCATATATTTCAAATTAAAAATTACTTTAAATTTTCCATAATTAACCAAAACTTTCCATATGTTTAAATAAATTACCATTAAATTGCTGTAGGTATCCATAATTTTTTGTAAATTTCCATAAATTACCAAAAATTACCGTAAGTTCTCATAATTTTCCGTAAATTACCAAATTTTTAAATGAAAAATTTTCTTTCTTTCTCTAAATAACAGTAATTTTTGATAAATTACAAAAATTTCTAATTTATCTCCATAATTTCCCATAAATTACCGTAAATTTCCATAAATTACCGTAAATTTCCATAAATTACTATAAATTTCCGTAAATTGCCGTAAATTTCCATAATTTTCCAAAAAAAATTCCGAATTTTTTTTTTTTAATTTTCTTAAAGCTGCCAACTTTTTTTTTTTTTATCTCGCACTGTACCGGTGACAAAAAAACAAGGATAGAACTAACATTTTTTATTGCTTTTATTTCTTTTTTCGGAATAAACGTATTTAATCACTATAATAATAAATCATACAAGAAAAAATTTGTCGTTAACAAAATATCAAATCTTGGATTTGCTGAAAACATAAAATAGTCAAAAAAATTTTTTCTTCGAAAAGAAAAATATAAACGAAAAATAGTAATTTCTTTTTTTTTTGTTTTGTAAAGAAAAAAAAAAATATTTTTGATTCAAAAAAAAATTATGAAGAACTGATCCAAGTTGATTTTTTGAACCACGTGCTCCGAGATCAACAAAAAAAATTAATTTTTTTTTCTCGAAGGGGAAGGGATAACAAAAACCTATATGTAAGTACATTTTTTTTCGTCGCCTGGAATTTTTTTTTTTTGTTTTTTTTTTATATAAAAACGTAATTTTGTCCAGGATTCGATATTAAACGAATAAAGAGCAGTTTTTTTTTGACAATCACAGCGACGGTGCAGTGACGATAATAATAATAATAATAATAATAATAATAATAATAATAATAATAATCAATCAAAAAAGGACGTATTAATAAATGACGTAAACTAATAATAATATATAAAGTAATAACAATAATTAACAGCAAGGCGGATACTCGCACATGTGACAATCAGTGATAAGAACTTTAAAAATATGTAATAATATATAAGTAATGGTAATCAATAATAAAGAGTCGTGCCAATAAAAAATCATTTCCAAAAAAAAAAAAAATTAGAAAAAAATTTGCTTTCAAATTTAAATTTAGCGCCATTTTTAAGTTAGCGGGAAATTTCAATTTTTCTATTGAAAATTAAAAAAAAAATTCCAATTTTTAAATTAACGATTAATTTTTTATTTTTTTTGCTATTTAAATTTTATATTTCCCGCAAATTTTTCATTTTTGGCGGGAAAATTTTTGGCGCCAAAAAGTATTTGTTCCTTTTTTTCAAAAAGGATAAATTTAAATTTCCCTCCTAATTTGAATTTCTTCTTTTCTTTTACCAACTGTACATTTGAATTACCCGCCAATTTTCTATTTTTTTGGCGCTAAATTCAAATTTGGTAAAAATTTATATTCAATTTTTATAAAGAAAAAATATTTCCTTAAGAGGAAAAGAATTCACTGTCTTTTTTTTAGATTTTTTTTTGAATTATTATTGTTATTATTATTTTTTTTTTTGTTTGGAAATGATTTTTATTGTAAAATGACGATTTGTCGATGTCGTCCAATGAGCGACGACGATGATCATTACAAATGACGATGACAAACGTACAGAAATATATTTTTTTTTGTAACGACAGTTATGACTAGGCTCTAAGTTTTTTTTTTTTTTTTTATTTTTTTTTGTGTGCTTGGTTCTCACTTGTTAGTCAAAAAAATTGGCTCAACGTGATTAGTCGTTAGCTTTTGCGTAAGTACATCGGTTAATTAAGACACGTCTTTGGTATCTTGCTTGGAGCTTTGTCAAAAGCTCGTCAACCATCTTTCTCTAGAATCCACAATCTCGTGAGGGAAAGAAAAAAAAATTTATTAAAAAAATTTTTTCTTATTGAAAAAATAATTTAAAAAAATTTTCTGTTAAAAAAAATTATTATTTAATAATTTAATTATCAATTAATTATTAATAACATAATAATATTAAAGACGAAATTATTTGAAAATTTTTCGAAAAACTTCATTTAAAACACAACGGACAATTTAAATTTACCGCCATATTTAATTTGGCGGGAAGTTTAAATTTGAATTTACCGCCAATTTAATGTGGCGGGAAATTTTAATTTTTTTTTTTTTGTTTTAAATAGCAAAAAATTTCCTTTTCATGAGAAAAAAAAAATTTTTTTGTATAAAATTTTGAATCTTCTTTCTTTTTTTTCTTAAATGGAAAAATAAAACAAAAAAATTTCTCAAAAAAAAGCCGTTTAAAAAAAAAAATAAATAATTTTAAACTATCAAATTTGATGAATAAATTTTTAAAATCCATAATTCTCTCATCGTTGGGAAAAATTTACCTATATAACAGCAAATTTTTTTTCTTTTTGAAAAAGTTTTTCAAAAAAAAATTGAAAATTAAAAAAATAATAAATGTTTACTGACAAAAATTTTTTTTTTCAATTCCAAAAAATTAACTTTGTATACGTAGAATTTTATTTTGCATCCATTAAATGGAGACAATTATTTTCATTTAATAAACATTCATGACAAATTGTTGACAATTTAAAAAAAATTGCTAAAAAAAAAATTAAACACACTTTTTTTCTATAAATAAATTTTTTTGGGAAAAAAAATTACCAAACTTTTTTTTTCTTTTTAATGTAAATTATTTATAAGAAATTTTTTTCTATTTTACTCATTAGTATTTTGCAAAAAAAAATTGTTTTTTGGAGAATTTTCAAAATTTTCTATTTTTTTCATGAATATTCAAAATTATATTAATTTTTTAAAATAAAAATTCCATGTTTTAGAAAAAAAAATTTACAAAAACTTTCTAAAAGTTTTGGTAAAATTTCAAAAGTTTCCATAAGTTTCCAAAAACTTTTCATAAATTTCCATAGGTTACCATAAATTTTTATAAGTTTTCACAAGTTTGTAAAATTTTTTTTCAGTACTTTTCAAAACAAAATTTAAAAGAAATTTACATTACTTTTCAGAAGTTTTTATAAATTTCCACAAGTTACCAGTAATTTTGAGATTTTTCCATAATTTTCCATAAGTTTCCATAAGTTTCTAGAAAAATCTGTATTAAAAAAAAATTAACTTTTTTTATACATAACTTCCTGTAAGTTTCCGTACATTTTCAAAAGTTTCCATAAATTTCCAAAAGTTATCATTAATTTCCATAATTTTCCACAATGTTTCTATAAATTTGCGTATTATTCAAACAAGTTTTAAACAATTTTATCTAATTATTTTGAGAAGTTTTTGTAAATTTTTTAAAGTTTCTATAAATTTCCGTATATTTTCATAAGTTTCGGTAAATTTCAATAAGTTTCCATAAATTTCCGTAATTTACGGAATTTTTCTAAATTTTACGATAAAAAAAAATTATTTTTCTATTTTCTTCTGAAATAGATATAAAAATTTAATAAAAAAATTAATTAAATTAAAAAAAAATTTCTTTTTCGAGATTGTGGATTCAAAAAAAAACTCCAGCAGGATCGCTTGCCCCGTGATATACATATATAATATATACATGGTAACGAGAAAAAAGGAATATATAAATATATATATATATTTTTTTTTAATTTTTTTAAATATATATATTTATATATTAATATAAAAAAAACGTACAACGCCGGTAAAAAGGTCGATTGCTATTCGCAGGAGCAACAAATAAAGCAGATGTCGAAGTCAGGATGCACATGCGTTACACTTTCAAGTTAAGAGGATCTCTCTTTTTTTTCTCCGTTGTACATACGGCCATTTTTTGTTTTTGAATATAATTTCGTCCATAAATTTTTTTTTTGACAAAAAAAACGGTCAAAAAAAAAAAATATATTTTTTTTTTTTGTCAAATTTGGTCAATTTTCTTTTTGACATAAATTTTTTTTTTCAAAATTTTTTTTGGCCATTTTTGTGTTTTTTTTTTTAACATCCAAGATGACTCAAATGATTTTTAGGTGATCTTTTTTTTGAATGGATGACGTAGAGAGATAAAGAGTCAAGGATGTAATTCAAAAAAAATTTTTTTTTTCAAGGAGAAAAGGATCCCAGTAATTTAAAAGGAAAAATATTCTCGTATTTTTCTTTTAGTTAAAAAAATAAAAAAAAAAAAAAATTCCGGCATTTGAAAAAAATGAATATTTACAGAAAAAAAATTCTAAAAAAAAGAAAGAAATTCGTAATATTTTAACATTTTTTTTTTTCATTTTTTTAAAGAACATTGAGAAAAAAACGAGATTTCGGGTAAAATGATTTTTTTTTATTTATTTGTGAAAGGATTAAGAAAAAAGGACACTAAGAAGCAGGAAGTGATTTTGTGTCTGTGTGTGTGTTTTTTTGTGAGTGGGGGAATTTTTGTTTTTTTTTTTCAAGGAAATTTAGTACCACGTGACTTTTTTTTTCTTTTTAATAATAATAACGATTAAAAAACGCAGACATATAAATTGCCTAAAACACGTACGCGACCCTATAATTAGATTATTATTAATATTTATTTATATTTGGGAAGTTATCGAAAATATTGACCGGAATTTTTGATTAAAAAAAAAATTTATATTCAATTAATTATTAATTAAATAATTAGAAAATTAGAAAACTAATTAGTAATTAATTTATTTACAAATTAATTAGAAAATAAATCAATTAATTATAATTAATCATTAATTATTTATTTAATTAATTTTTTGATATATTAATTAATTAAATAATTAGCCAAAAAATTAATTAATTTAATACCTGACTCGGAGTGATCGATATCTTCATACTATAATTAATTTAATTATTAGTTAATTTTTCAAATTACATTTTTTTTTCATATGTAATTTCAAAATAATTCCGGTCAATATTTACGAAAAAGATTCGAATTGAAAATTCCCGGAAATTTGTTTTATTTTTTTTTACTCCACATATCATACAATCTTATTACAAAGTCTTTTAAAAAATGCCTCTTATACTCTTTGTTTTTTTTTTTATTTTTTATTAATGATCACGTGTATTTTTTTGTATATATATATATTTATATATATACTTTTTTTGGTATTTTTTCACGAACTTTCCAAGTCGTTTTTCTTCATAGTTTTCAATTTTTTTCGGGAAAAATTTAAAAAAAAAACCTTTTTTTTCTTTTTAAAGAAAAATTAGTGGGAAATTTTTTTTTAAATTGAAGATAAAAATTATTTTAAATAATTTTTTTTTACTAATTTTCAAAATTTTCAAAATTTTCTATTAAATTTAAAAAACAAAATATAATTATTTTTTATTTTGTTTAATAATTTTATAAACTTTTGTTTTTTTTGTAAAAAATAAATTTCCAGTATTTTTTTCTAATTCTCAAAATTTTATTTCACGATTTTTAAAATCGATTTTTTTAAATAAACAAAATTTTTTTCGATTTTTTCAACAACTTTACAATAAAATTTTAAATTAGCAAAAATATAATTGTTTTTGAAACAATACAATTTTTTTTTTTCTAGAAAATTTGTATTTGTAAAAAAAATCGATTTTACTTTTCAAAAAAAAAAAAAAATTTCTTTTTCATTTTTGTCCGGAAAAAAAATTACCAATACCAATTTTTCTGCTATTTTTTTTTTTTTTTTTTATTCAACTCCCAATTCTTCGATTTTTCGAGCGATAATCATTCGATAAAAATAATTCTCAGTCAACGTTTAATATATCTAAATTTTTTTTTATTCGTATAATAATATAATTGTTATCTTGCTTATCGACTCGTTTAATCGACTTACGCTGACTATTTGGTATTTTTTTTTTACTTTTTTTCGCTCAATAACCACAAAGTTCGCATTTTATATTATTATTATTATTAAATAATTAACATACTTCATTTTTTCAATTTTTTTTTTAATTATTTATACAATGATTGTGTCACTCGTTTCATTTTTTTTCTAAACCGCGGAAAGAGAGAAAGGGGGGGGGGGGGGGGGAGGTGAAAAAAAAGAAAAAAACGTTCGACGACGTTTCGAACGAATTTTCAAAATTTATTTCTCCAATTTTATTTACTTCATTTTTCTTTCTCTTTCATTAAAAAAAAAATACGATCTTAGCACAGGCACACATATATATTTTTTTATATAATAATCGCCATTTTGTTTTTTTAAATATAAATTATTTACATTTATAATGACAGCCTCTGCTCAAAGATCTGCTCATTAAAAAAAAAAATTTATACACGATCTTTTTTATTTTTTAAAAATTTAAATTTTTTTGAATTTTGCGGTCGATTCGACGATTGGAGAGTGGAGGAAAAAAAGAGGGGGGGGAGAGAAATAGAAGAAGAAAAAGTGAAAAAAATAGATTAATAATGAAAAAAAAGTGATGGAAGAAAAAGGAATTTGAAAAATGTACTGTGTAAATGTGTAAGTGTAATGTTTTTTTTTTTTGGTGATTTCCAAAGATTTTAAAAAAAATATAGAAAGAAAAAAGAGATCGAGTCGTGATTGACAGATCGACTGACTGAGACAGACATGGCACGGCAACTCCGGGTCCAGAGTAAACGGTTTCACAACGTCACAGGCCACCTGCTGGCACACAAACAAAACACACGGACAAGTTAGTCACCACCACACACTTGGAAAAAAAAATATTTGTTTTTGAGGTTTTTTTTTTTTAGGGAATCCCCCAGTGTCTGACTTTATTTGTTTTTGAATTTCCCGCCATTTTTTTCCATTTCATTTTATTTTTTATCTATTCATTGGGATTCCCCTGCATTTGTCTAAGTGTGCCATAATAGAAAAAAAAGAATAAAACAATGTAATAAAAATCGATTAATCGATTGATAGTTCGATATATCGATTTTAAGATGAATATATCGATTTTAGTATCGATACATCGATTAGTAAACGATAAATCGATTTCAGACCTGACATTTCGATATTAGAATCGATTTTAGCATTGATATATCGATTTTAGAATCGATAAATCGATTTTAGAATCGATTTTAGTATCAATATATCGATTTTGGAATCGATACGACGATTTTATAAACGATAAATCGATTTTAGAATCGTTTATAGTGTCAATATTTCGATTTTGGAATCGACACATCGATTTTATAAACGATAAATCGATTTTAGGATCGAAATATCGATGTTACAAACGATAAATCAATGTTATAATTGATATATCGATAGTGGAATCGATTTTAGGATTGATATATCGATTTCATAAACAATAAATCGATTTTGTAAACGATAAATCTAGGCTAGAATCGACGTATCGATATTGTAATCGATTTTAGGATCGATATATCAATATTGGAATCGATTTCAAAATCGATACATCGATAAATGATTTGTATATCCATTGTATATTCGATATATCGATATTGCAATCGATTGTAGGATCAATATATTGATTTTAGAATCGATATATTTGTTTAAACTTTTATAGAATGAAATAACTTTTTTTTTGAAAAAAATAAAATAATTAAAATAAAATTTTTTTTGTAGAAAAAATTAAGAAATAATAAAGAATATCGATTTGAAGATATCGATGTTATATACATCATTTTTCTTTCTTGGCCAGACACTTTTACGTATATTTAAGCCACATATTAGGAAAAAAAAGAAATGTGAAACTTTTAAAGTTATTTTTGTTTAAATTTTCTATTTTTTAAATTTTTTTAAAATTTTTTTAAATTAGATTATTTTTTTTTAAGTAAATAAAAAAAATGTTTGAAATAAACAACAAAATAATCGAATAATATTTGATTATTATTTTTAATTTTTTTTTTTTTAAATCGATATTTCGCTTTTCTTTTTTCCCTTCATTGAAAAATATCGGAGCACAATTAAAGAAAAACACATTTTTATGAAAAAAAAAAAAATACAAAAAAAAAAAATATATAACAAAATTTCAATAAATTGAAAACAAGTTATAAAAATTGTACAAAAAATCGTTATTCTCAAAATTTGAAATAATTGTTTACTATAATAATAATAATTATAATAATAATAATAACTAACAACTAATAATACTATTGGAATTAATAAAAATTATTTAAATGCAAAAAATTAAAAAGAGGCGAAACATTTTTTTCCCAATTTTGAAAATAACGATTTAAAATTTGCTGAAATAAATATTTATAGCGGATTCCATATTGTTAGTATTGTAAACAAACTAAAAAAGCTTCCTTAACATAATAATTATTAACCATAAAAATAGAAATATATACGTATAAACTTAGTATTATTAAGACGACATAACGCGAATATAACAAAAATAAAATTATAACATTATTATGATTAATTAATCATTTTTTTTTAATTCCATGATTGTTATCATTATTATCTGCGTGAATTGTTTGAAAATTAATAAATAAATAAATAAAAAAGTAAATAAATATATTTATAATAAATATTATAAATAAAAAATATTAACGAATATATTATAATTATACCTAATAATTATAATAATTATTACAATTATAATAATTATAATTTTTTAATAATATTTTTTATTTATAATATTTTATTATATTATATATATAAAAATATGTGTTTAAGGATGTGTGTGTGTGGGTGTACCGAGAATGTGATTAATGTACGGCAGCGTACACATCGTATATAACGTATAATTCATGAACGAGGGGATCGATCATAAAAAAAAGGAAAAAAAAATGAAAAATCAGCCGATAGAGAAGCGTGAGTTCGAGAGTCGAATTTCCAATCGGAACCCATCCCCAAAGGCTTCATTTTTGTGTCATGCACGCAGCCAAACTGATTTTTATCAATAGCCTCATCCGTAAGAAACGAAAATAAAAAAAAAAATTTTTTTCTAAATTATTACTTCAAAAAAAAAAAAAAAAAAAACCTAATTAGAATATAATTAAAAAATCAAATAAAAAATATTTTAAAAAATTTAACAACAAATAAAAACTAAAAAAAACAAGAAAACAAACATGAACAAGAATAAAAACAAATATTTAAAAAAAAAAAAAAACAACGAAAGACTAACAAAGTGACATTTGAATAAAACAAAAAATTTACATTTAATCTAAAAATAAATAAGCAAAACAAAGAGAGAAGATAGTTTTTTTTTTTAAACATATATAGGAAAAAAAACTAGACTCGAAAAAAAAGATTGACTCTAGTTTACTTGTATATATATATATATATTTTTTGTACTTTGAGAAATATCACAGCCATTATTTTTATTATATATAAATATATATCGTATATATTATAACGGGACTAGAATATTAATATTAACAATAATAGTTTTCTTTTTACAGTCTCTGTTGTTTTTCGCTTTTAGGGGAAATATTATATATGTGTATATATATATAGATAAAGAGAACAGATTAAAAAATTGCTTCTATTCACTCTAGAAAAGAAGGAAATATTCAACAAAATTTGTATTCCTAACAAATACTATCATGTAATTAAATAAACAATTAAATAAATAAATAAAAATTAATTAATATAAAAATCGATTTTAGAATCGATATATACCAATTTTATAATCGACATATCGATTTTAGTATCAATATATCGATTTTAGAATCGATACATCGATTTTATAAATGATTTATTGATTTTAGACTCGAATTTATGATCAATATATCGATTTTATAAACGATTCATCGATTTTAGACTCGATTTTATAATTGATATATCGATTTGACAAACGATAAATCGATTTTAGGATCGATATATTGATTTTACTATCGAGAAATCGATACGTCGATCTTTGATAAATATTAAATATAATTAAATATTCATTAAATAAATAAATAAAAATGATCGATGAATAAATAATTAAATAGATCGATAAGTAAATAATTAAAAAGATCGATAAATAAATAGATCGATAAATAAATAAAAACGATTAAAACCGTATTGTATCGCGTAAAAAAAAATTGTTAATGTTTTTTATCTACCTTGTAGTATCGTTGCGAAGAATGGCTAATAGGGTTTAGTCGAATCCTTTGGTCTCTTTGGTTGGACCTTTAGTCTTTTTTGTCCAATTGGAAAGCCGTGCATTGCTTGTATTGCTGCCTGCGCACTTTTTGTATTATCGTATGAAACAAAACCTGGAAAAAAAGAAATAAAAATTTTTGTTTAAAAAAAATATATCGACATAATTTAAATAACTAAACAACGATTTTATTTTCGATATATTGTCTGGAATTTTTAAAACGATATTCGATATATCGATACAATAATCGATATAATAATATATAATAATCGAGTGAACGTAATCGATTGTTCTATCGATTTAATTTATCGTTTAGATATATCGATTCTTATACCGATAAAATATAATCGCTATTCTACACAATATATAGGTGAGATATTCGATATATCGATATTATATTTTCGATATATCGAAGTATTATTTGATATATCGATATTATATTTTCGATATATCGAAATATTCTTCGATATATCGAAGTATTATTCGATTTTTTTTTAAAAAAGGAATTTTTTTTCTATTTTATTTATATTTCTATTTAAATAAAAATCAATAATAAATTAAAGAATGAAAAAAATTGATTATTATTATTATTATTATTATTACCGAAACATTTGCTCCTCTTTGTGTTTCTATCGATGAAAACTCGGGCTGAAATAACATTGCCAAATGGGAGGAAAGTCGATGCAAGATCCGTGTCGGTGAATTCTTGAGGAAGATGATAAATAAAAAGATTCGCTCCCTCGGGACCTTCTATTTGTTTGCCAGCGTTTGCAAAGGCCGATGTTTGTGCGGCCGCTGCAGCCGCGGCTGCTGCCGCTGTAAATGTTGGGAACCCTGTTGAAAAAAGAAGAATAAAAAAAAATTTACTAAAAATATAAATAAAAAAATTTTTTTTTCATTTTTTCTTTTTAAATGAAATTTATTTTTTTATAATAAATAAAAATATTTATTTATTTCTGTAAGAAACAAATATTTATTTATTTGTAAGTAAAATTCAAAAAAAATATAAAGATACATTTACTTCAACACTTAAGGCACTTTGTGCAAAAAAAAAAAAACTAAATTATAAATAAAATAAAAACAAAAAAAAAAATCTACATCATGCTGCTGCGAGAAAAATAATCCATTTTTTTGCGATTGGTAACAAAAAAAGAAAAATTGTTTTTACCTTCAAAAAAAGCGACTACAATTTAAATAATTTTTATTTTGCAGGAACATGCTTATATTTAAAAAAAAACATTCGTTTTCATTCGACTAAAATAAATTAACGTTTTTTTTTCTTAACTTTTTTTTTTGAACTACTTTCAACGAAAAAAAATTGTACATTACTCACTATGCAATTCTTTCTTTTCCACTGTCACTGTCGTTTTTCCAATGAGTGCTTTATTAAGACGTAGATTTATTAATTTGCAATTCCTTTGTTACTTTAAATTATATATTTATTTACATTTTTTTTCTTTGTTGTATTTAAAAAAATTTTTTTAAAAATTTTCCTTTTTTTTTTTTGATAAAAAATTCAAACTTTATTTTTTTAGAAAAAAGAAATTTTGAATTTCCCGCCAATAAAGCACATGAAATAATGGCGCGAAATTTAAATTCAAAAAACCTTTTTATATTCTTCCGATTTAGAAAAAGGGAGAAGTTTAAATTTCCCGCCAATGAAGTTGAGGAAATAATGGCGCGAAATTTAAATTTAAAAACTTTATTTCCTAGATATAGTTTAAAACATATTCGTATTTCCCGCCAAGAAATTGAGGAAATAATTGCGCGATATTTAAATTCAAAAACTATTTAATCGCGCTTTAAAAAAAGAATTGAATTTGCCGCCAATCCTTAGTGGCGCGAAATTTGAAATCAAAAACTGTATTTTTTGTGTTTTTTAAATGGAATTTGAATTTCCTGCCAATAAATTTAAAGAAATAATAGAGGGAAATTTAAATTTGAAAATTTTTTTCTCGCGTTTTTTCTTTTTTTATAAGGAATTTGAATTTCCCGCCAATAAAATCGAGATAATGGCGCGAAATTCAAATTTAAAAAGTTTATTTTCTTCTTTTTTGGGTTTTATTTTTTGCATGTTTTGTTTATTTATTTATTTTTTTTTAATTCAAAAATAAAAAAATTCTTACCTGCGTATTGTTGCAAACTGGAGTAAGCATTGCTAATTGTATCCTGAAGTCCGTTTAAGGGAGTTCCAGTTAAGGAATTGAGCGCAAGGGACGTTACAGGACTCAAGCTGCCTCCAGTGGACCCTTTAATAAATAAAAAAAAATTCCAAAAAAAATTATTAAACATATTTTAAATAAAATAAATTTTATTTTCAAAAACAAAAAAAAAAAATATATTAATCAAAATTTTTTTGATTATAGTGAATGATGAAAAAATTTTTTCAGAACTTTGGCCTCATTTTAATAAATACGTTTATTAGAAAAATAAACTTTGAAAAAAATATCGTTAAAATTTGAAAAAAAAATTTAAATAAAAAAAATAAGTTTTTGAAAAAAAAATTAATTTTGAATATAAAAATTAAAATTTTAATTATAAAAACATAAAAATAGAAAAAAATTTTAATTTTTAACAAATATAAATTAAATTTCAAAAATGTAATGTACAAATAAATGATAATAAATTAATGAAATTAATCAAAATTAATGCAAATTAGCAATTATATAAAAAAAAAATAAATGAAAAATAATTATCTATGTTAATAAATGCTGTGAAATTCCAAATAAAGCTTGACATGCTTTTTGAGAACACAAAAAACTTGCAAATATTATTAATAATATTATTATTAATTTTATTATTAGCCCAAAATTATTAAAAAAAAAAATGAAATTAAAAATGTTTAATTAACAACAAAAATTAAACTATATATAAATTTACAAACATTTATATAATTTTAAGTATACCTATATATGTGTTTTAGAAAATTGGATTTTTTTCCAATTTTTAAGAAAAATTGGATTTTGTTTTTCCAATTTTCAAGGAAAAATTTAAAAATAAGTTTAAAAAAAAATTATTAAAAACACATTCTCAATATTAAATGAAAAAAAAACCAAAAATACAGGAAGCTTTTTTTTACTATTTGAAACAAACAATCTATTAATTAGTGCTTAGAGAAATTTGAAAAAAAATAATAACAAAGGAAACAAAAATGAAACCATTTTTCATATACAATTTTCTCACCTGTATTCGCAGTTTTTCCTAAAAGGGCAGCTATTCCCATTTTTAAAGAACAGACAAAAAAAGAGAAAGAAAACGAAATTTGTTAAAAGATATATTTTTTCCTTTTTTTTTAATTTAAAAAACAAAATTTTCTATTTTTAATCAAAAAAACTCTCTCTCTCTCTTTCATTATTTTTTTTTTATTTTTCTTCCATTTTTATCAATTATTTTATTGGCAGAAAATTATTATTATTATTATTATTATTAATTATATTTATTCAATAACTAATAATAAAAAATTTATTAATTAATTTTAATAAAAAATTAATTAATAATTAAAAGTTAAAATGATTTAAAAATTAACTATAATAATTAAAATTTTTAATTAATAAAATATTCAAAAATAAAAATAAATTATTCGTCAAAATAAAATAAGTGCAATTTAAATTATTTCTGATTGTCAGACAATAATAATTATATTATTATTGAATCAATGGAAGAAGAGAATACAATAGAGGAAGAGAGAGAGATAGAGAGAAACTATATATGTTAAATTGAATTTTCAACGAAGTCGCGAATAATTGGAAGATTTTCAATGGGGGGGGGTGATAGACAGGTGGTGGGGGGTAGTGTGATGATATGAAAAGGGGGAGGGGGTGGAGTTAGCGAAAACTCAATAATTGGTGAGATCGTCGTTACAAGTTAGAAGTCGACGAGAGAATTAGGTTAGAAACTAATTTAGTAATGGTTAATACTGTACCAGGCAATGCGACACGTACATAGCGACATACCTGCTGACGAATTCGCCAATCCACTTAGCGCTGAAACAATTGTTACATACACTACATTAATTATTATTATTCAATTTCACAAAAATATAAAAAAGATCAAAAAAAATCCTACTTACAAAATTTTACCAGTCTTTTTATATTTATTTTTTTTACAAAATTTTTAATGAAAGTAAATAATAAATATGAAAACACTTTTTCTCTCTATAAAAATAAGTATTTTCTATAAATTTTTTTTTCTAATCGATATATCGATTATTTCCGGTGATAAATCGATTATTTCGATACATCGATATATCGATTACTTCGATCCACTAATTACTTCGATATATCGATTATTTCGATATATCGATTACTTCGATATATCGATTAATTCCTTCGATGTATCAACTATTTCGATACATCGATTACTTCCATCGATATATCGATTATTTCGATACATCGATTACTTTCTTCGATATATCGATTACTTCTATCTACCAATTACTTCGATATATCGATTAGTTCGATAAATCGATTTCGTTATATCGATTATTTCGACACTTCGATTACTTCGATTACTTCGATACATTACAAATATCGAATATTTCGATAAATCTATTACGTCGATGTATTGCAGATTTTGATTAATCGATTACTTCAATATATCGAATATATCGAAAATACAAAAAAAAATTTTTTGTTCATCAATAATTGACAATAAAAAAAAAAAAAAATTTCTATGAATGAAAAAATAAAAGAATTAATTTTCATCTAAATAATATGAAATAAAAAATTTTTTATTTTTAATTAAAATTTTTTCATTCACTCACTGTTTGGCGAAACTTGAAGGTTACCATTTCCGCCTGTCATTGCCGCAAGGGTCACAAGATTTTGCACACTCATTGGCGTGACACCGACATTTGCTATAAAAAAAGGGAAAAATTAAAATAATACTGTATTATTAATAAATTGTCTTAAAAAAAATTTTTTTCTTTCCCAACTATTTATGCTGCAAGTATAAAAAAAAACTTAAATAAAAAAAAATAAAAATTTTTTTGAATTATTTTTATTAAATAATAATAATAATAGAAAATTGTAGAAATGATACAACAAAAATTTCACGTACAAATAATAATAAATATCAAATGTTGGTAAAAACAGTTTTTCTCTATTATTTACTGTCGATAATAATTTTTTACCAACTGTTGGTAAAAGAGTTTTCTCTTTTATTCACTGCCAAAATCAAATTATGAACCAATGTTGGTAAAACAGTTCTCTCTTTTATTCACTGCTGGTAACAAATTATTACCAACTGTTGGTAAAACAGTTATCTCTTTTACCCACTATCGATAATAAAATTTATAAGAATGCAAAAAAAGTAATAAACAAAAAAAGAATATATTCTCGTCAAATGAATAATGAAAATAATAAAAAAGAAGCATGAGATACTGACCGTACTCACCGGCACTATTACTCAACGATGCAAGTGTCGCGAGACTTTGCAAATTTGCCGGACTTATTTCCGGTTGAGTGGGAATTGCAGCGGGCGCTGCCGTTGCCGCCGTTGCAGCACCAAGGCCCAAATGTTGTTGAAGTAACAATTGATGTTGAACACTTGATAATGCATTTGCACCGGCATTTGCAGCAACTGGTGTTGCTGCACTCGACGTCGCTTGTAATTGTTGTAAAAGTTGTAGCGACGTGGGCGCCAATGCCTCATTCTAAATTTACACAGAAACACAAAAAGAAACAATATTTAGTGTTGTTTTTTTACCGACTGTCGCTAAAAGCAGTTTTATAATTTACCGACTATTGGTAAAATAGTTTTCTTCCATACCAACAGTCGGTATATCAGTTTTATTCCCTGCCAACAGTCGGTATAACAGTTAACGTTACTGATTGTAGATAAAAAATAGTTTCCTATATTACCGACTGTTGGTGAAACAGTTTTCTACCTTACCAGCAGTCGGTAAAACAGTTACAAATACTTTATCGTTTGTTTATACTGACAGAAATTTTTTTTCCTTTGCAAAACATAAATTTTCTTAGTGGATTTTTTTTGTTGTAAACTCTAGGAATAAAAAATTATTTGAATTTTCTTTTTTTTTTAAACTTACCGTTGTCGTTAGATAGTGTGGCGTCATATTGACACCAGCAATATTCCAGAGATTCGCCTGGATTTGTTGCATTCTCTTTTGCTCCTTTTCTTTTTGCGTATCCGCGAATTTTACGACTAGAGGAGCAGAGCAACCCTAAAACACACACATACGTACACACATAAATATATATATATATATTCCAAGTGAGAGAGAATTCGTTCGTTAAATTGGAATACCGTAAGTATAACCATAACTTTCGACCTTATGAGATTTTCATACCAATGGCGAATGGGGACGGGAGAAGCATAAAAGATCCGGATATGTATTTTCCTCTTAAATAGACTATATATAGAAAAAACCACCCTTTGGAGAAAACCAATTACGAAAAAAAGGATGTGAGAACAATTTTTCCTCTCCGTGTAGTTAAAATTACATTATACTCGAATTTCTTTTTTTTTCTTGATATAAATTATTGGGGGAAAAAAAAGTAATTGGATAAATTTTATTAGTAAATTAGATTTGTTTTAGAAAAAAATTTCTATTAATTACTCAATTAAATTTTATTTTTAACTTTTTAAGTATATTTCTGAATTACCGACAGTGATAACATTTTTATCATTGTTTTTTGGAAAATATAAGTTATAATTTCAAAATTTTTATAGAATTCAGTTTTCTTAGGTGCAATTTAAATGCCATGACTATTTTTTTTGAATTTTAGTTACATTTTTTTCAGTAGATTTCTGCATTACCGACAGTAGTACAATTTTTTCCCCATTGTTTCTTGGAAAATATGATTTGTAATTTCGAAATTTTTACGCGATTCACTTTTCTCAGGTTTAATCTTAATGCCACAACTAGTTTTTTAATTTTACTGTAATTTTCATAAGTAGATTTCTGCATTATCGACAGTAGTACAATTTTTTCCACATTGTTTCTTGGAAAATATGATTTGTAAATTCAAAAATTTTTATACTATCGCCTTTTTTCTGGTTTAATCCTAATGCCAAAAATTTTTTTTTTGAATTTTAGTTAATTTTTTTAAGTAGATTTCTGCATTACCGGCATCTATAAAATTTTTCCTGCGTTCTTTTTAGGAAAACATAAGTTGTAATTTAAAAACTTTTACGCCATTCGCTTTTCTCAGGTTTAATTTAAATGCCATAACTATTTTTGCAGATTTTGCTCTAAATTTTTTTAGCAGACTTCTGCATTACCGACAGATGTAAAATTTTTCTCAATTTCTAAAATAAATTCCTGTCAAATGAAGAATATTTCTTTTTCCTATACAATTTTCATGTGTGAATGTTTGCAAAATCGATAAAATGAAAGAAAGAGATAGAAAGAGAGAGAAAAAAGAGTTGGTAAAAAAAATTCAGGATTTACAGTTTGATTGGGTGATTTTTCAAGATTCTCTAAGAGTCATATGAAATTCTCGCTACCGTTTCATTTTTCCCAAGCTTTGCATATAACTGTATAGGAGTGGTTTGGTGAAAGGATCTCTCTCTCTCTCTCTCTCAACATCTCCAAGTGCATCATGACTATTGCACAGGGCGAAATGGAATAGCAAAGTTGGACCAGGAAAGTTTAATCTCACACACACACACACATATACATATACACTTACAGTACATACAACGATCAACGGGACGCGTCTCAAAATGACGATGCAATGCGAGAAAAGCATCCTTGACTTTTTTTGCTATATATATAGATATATGAATATAAATAATTTTTTCCAACTTTGTTATTTTTTCTTCTTCTTTTTTTTCATTATCAACGCCATTTTGCACCGCAAAAAAAAATTACCCCTTTTTTTATATCAAGAAATTCAAATTTTTCATAAATCTTTGAATATATTTATCCCTCACTTCATAAATAAACATTTCCTCATTTTTTTACTTCTCCAACTTCTCGGTGTATTATTCAAAAAAAAAAAAAAAAAAAAAAAAAAAATTTCCTCTCCAAGCGAATTTTTACGGGGAATTATGTAATTAAAAAAATAATTATATGCAAAGATAAAAAATTTCTTTTTTCTCTAAAATTATTATTTAAAAACATTTTTTTAAAATACAAATTCTCAAAATTTTTGTAGACAAATAAAAAATAAACAAAAAAATATTGATTTTTGAAAAAATTAATTTTTTATTATTAAAATAGAAATAAAGAAAGAAAAAAATTTTGAATTGGAAAAAAATATTTTTCCCCCTTACTCTCTTGACAATTTAAATAGAAAATTGAATCTTCAAATGGAAATGTAGTTGAAACGTATATATATATAAATGTTGTGTGTGCCGAGTTCGAGGAACTCGCATTGCCGGAAATATTCATGATATTAAAATGAAATTGCCATGAGACTATATCTTTTTGCCTTGGCACTGCCTTTTGGCGAATTTCAACATTCGAATTAGGTGAATCCCCTTAGCCCTGAACTTGTCTTCAATCATGTCCACTAAATAAATAATAGCAAAAAAAGAAGACACTAGACTCTCTTTAAAATAGTAAAAAAAAACATAAAATTTTTTTTACATTTTTCAAAATCGTCTAAAATTAGTAAAATCAAATTTTTTGTAACCCTTGAAAGAAAATTTTTAACCATTTTCTTGGATATTTATTGATTTTACCGACAATAGATAAAAATATTACCTACTTTACCGACTGTAGATAATCTGATATCTACTTTACCGACTATAGATAAAAGTACTACCTACTTTATCAACTGTAGATAAAAGTAGTACGTACTTTACCGACTGTCGATAAAAGTACTTTCTATTTTACCATTTGCCGATAAAGAAGTAGATAAAGGTGATATCTAGTTTACCGACTATAGATCAAAGTACTGCCTAGTTTACCGACTGTAGATAAAGACACTACCCTACTTTACCGACTGTGGATAAAAGCGTTTTCTACTTTACCATTTGACGGTAAAGAAATCGAAAAAAATTTGCTTTATGAACAACTGATACTAATCGATTTTTATTTATTCAAAAATTAAAAATAAAAAACTGTAAATTTATTAGGAATAAACAAATTATTTTGTTCAATAATTCAGAAATTTTCGAAAATTTCATTCTATTTTAATCTATTAATTTGAAATAAAGGAAAAAATTACTTTTTATACGTCCCTGTAGATACCAAAAGTAAATGTCAATCGCGTGTTTAAAAAGACATTTGTTCAAGAGCAGATTCTTGATTTTTTTTTCATTCCCTTTTGTATTTCATTTAATTCCTTTTTTTTGTTTTATTTTTTGTTTCTTCGTTTAAAGTTAAATCGGTATTACTGGGATGTGAGTAGTCGAGGCGTGAATCTACAAATGTTATATGTGGTCCATTTTGGCACTTGGCCAATGTCCGCTATCTGTGTATAAAAAACCACAATGATTAAAAAAAAATAATAGATGAAACAACCATGTCAAAACTGACAATTACAGAATATAGAATAAATAATGAAATGAATTTTTAGAAAATTTATTGTGTGACTATTTTCATAACGAATTAGAAATTGTTTGTTTTTCTATTTAATTTTTTATTTTTAAAATTAATATTTTATGATCAAAAAAATTTATTAACATCGAAAAAGAAGATACCTACTTTACCGACCGTCGATAACTATATACTCTACTATTTGTAGGTAAAGAAGAACCAATAAAGAGGTAGGAAGCTACATATTTTACCGACTGTGAATAAAAAGGTGGTCTACTTTACCGACTGGATAAAAAGGTGCTCTACTTTACCGACTAGGGATAAAAATATGCTTTACTTTACTGTTTGTAGGTGAATAAGAACAAATAAAGAGGCAAAAAGTTACCTATTTTATCGAGTGTGAATAAAAAGGTGCTCTACTTTATCGACTGTAAATAAAAACGTGATCTACTTTACCATTTGTAGGTAAAGTAGAACAAATAAGAAGAAAAGAAGCCACCTACTTTACCGATTAAAGATAATAAAATGATTTATTTTATCATTTGTTGGTAAAATTACCTTTGGAATTTGTTTTATCATTCACTTGAATAATTAATTTAGTTAAAGTGTTTCTAAGTGTCAAAGATGAAATGTCTTTGTTGGCGTCAAAACGTGAATTATTCACATGATTGCGCCAAATGTATACAAGAGCCAAAAGAACGTCACTTGCTCAATTGACAAATAATAATTATTTTGTAATGATTTTGTTTTATTTATGCGATAATTTATAAACAAAAACACTAAATTGTCTACAATTTTCTATGGAAAATGATGGAAAAATAGAATAAATAAATGTAATAATATAATTTTTATCCACTGTCAGTAAATGAAGATTTCTACTTTATCAACATGTGGTAAAGTACTTTAGTAAATCTACTTTATCGACAAATAGTCTTCATTGTCGACGGTCGAGAAATGAATTATTCTACTTTATCGACGAGTGGTAAAATATTACCGTTAATTTATATTATCGACAAACTATGTACTTTGTTGGTATATTAATATTTCAATCTTTCCCGACAAAAGAAATTTGTTATCGACTGTTGGTAAATGAAATTCCTAAATTACCAACGAATGTAAAATCTTTTAACATTACAATCAGTTTTTGTACACTGTCGGTAAATCAGAATTTCTACATTACCAGTGGATAGTAAAAAAAAATTCAAGAAATCTACTTTATCGACAAAAATTTATTTTTAACTCTCTCTTTCTCTCGCACTCGGAAAAAATTTCTATTATAAAATAAATTCTCTCTATTTACCTCCATGGTTTGTGAATGATGAAGGGTCTTGCTTGCATTAATGGCCGACTGTTTACTCGAGAATGTAACGAATGCACAACCTTTACTTTGTCCATTGTCACGTAATACAGAACATTCCTCAATTGTACCAAAAACGCCAAACATATTTCGTACATCATTTTCCGTGTACTTCTTCGACAGCATACCAACAAAAAGTTTTCGTTCTGTAACATAAAAAAGGAAACATTTTTTTAATATCGAGGATAAATTTTTAAAAAATAATTTTTTTTCGCAAAAATTTAAAAAATAATAATTTTTTTTTAAATTTAATTTTTTGTTTAAAAATAAATTTTGTTTCGCAAAAAAATAATTTTTTTTAAGTAAATAATACAATATGTGCTAATTCAATGAAAGGGTAAATTTTGCCGAAGTGATAAAGACCCTTTTGTTGTTTGAAAGGAAACACGAAATGAGATAAAAAGTTTTTTTATCGTGATACAGTAAAACGATGTTTACACATACTGTATATATGTATATGTATATATTAGTATGAGGCATTGAATTCTACGAGAGCAAAAAGGAGAGCTTAAGAACCTAACTTCATATCGAGCTGTTTGCTCGAGAAAAGTGCATCGAACTCTCTCTCTCTCTCTCTCTCTCTCTCTCTAGATATTCTTTTCTACCTTCATTCCCCCTCCCCTTTAACAACATCCATTTACTCTGAAACTAACTCCTTACCATTGGAAACGATCCTTATCATTCGTCAATTACTGTTTTTTTTTACAAAAGTTACAATTCATTTTCCACTTTTCTAAAAATATTCATTATAAATCAAAAAGTTTGTATAAATATTAATAAAAAGCAGATTTTGAACAATTTTCAAATTACAGATTCCTGTCACCGACAATTATCGACATAATGGAAAATTGATTCTGTTTTATCGACGGTTATCGTGGTTTGACTCTCGGCTAATTTTGCATTGTTACCAACGTTTTTTTTAACCTAAAAAAGGGTTTGTGTCTGTGTTAAGTCGGTAAAACAGTTTAAAATAGTTTACAATTCATAAAAAATACACTTTGCTAACAAGCTATCGATGGTTTGAATCTCTGCTAAAAGAGTATAGTTACCGACAAACAATTTTTTCTAAAAAAAAGAAGGGTGTGTATCTCTGCTAAGTGGGTAAAACAGTTTGCCAACAGTTACCGACATCATTGGTTTGAGTCTCGACTGAAACAAAAACATTGTTACCGACAATTTTTTGAAAAAAGGGTTTGTATCCGTGCTAAGTTGCGAAATGTTATCGACATTAGTGGTTTGAGTCTCAACTAAAAATAAACATTGTTACTGACACTCATGTTTAAAAATGTTTGGTTCGAATCTTGACTAAAATAATTACTTTAAAAAAATGGTTCGTGTCTCAACTAAATTTGTAAATAAATTTTTTTTACCGACCAATTTTGTAGTGGAAAAAAATTGACTTAAAAAAAAGAAGAGATTTCATTTTTTTATATACCTGTACAATATTCGTTTAATTTTTTTTTCCTGACAATAATAAAAATGGGGCAAAAATTAAATGTAGTAATTAAATTCTAAAGATTTTAATTGTCAATAATTTTATGACGTAATCGTCATTGTATTAGCTTCAATTGTCGTGACTTTGTGAAATAACTGCAAATAATCATCGAGAGTGTATATCTATAGAATATATATATAATGGCGCAAAAATTGCAAAAAATCTTTTGTAACCAGTCACGAACTTATTGAGGAACATAAATGATAAAAACAACATTTTCAAATATTTATTATTTATTTCAATTTCAATATTAATAAAAAAATTTTTTTTTAATTTACCATTACATTTTATTATTAAAAAATAGTGAAAAATAATTTATTTAATAACTAAATTAAAAAAATTATTAAATATTAATTAAACAAAAAAATAAATAAATTAATAATATAAAAAAAAGTAGGAAAATTTTTTATGTATTAAAAATTTTTTTTTTTAATTTAATATATTATAATGAAAATTAAATTTTTCAAATGCGCGTAAACCTCTTTTTTTACATCTATTTTATTCTGTATAAAACACAATGTTAAAAGGAAAATTTTTTTTATCTCAACTTGAATGCCAAAAACTTGAAAGCAAGAATTTTAATAATTTTCCGCCTTTATCACTGAGTGATAAAGGTATTTGGAGTTGGAATTTTCCGCACGATGTTCAAAAGGCAGGGGGGGGGCAATGAAAGATTAAAAAAAATGAAAAAAAATTGTTCAACAAGGTTTGTCCAATAGCCATGGAAAATTCGATACGATGACCGTTAGTACTGACCACTCAGACCAACTACTACCACTACTACTATATACTATATCAAGGGCTTCTCTGCCTACCTAGAAAATTAATTAAACCAATAACTAATTCCAAACTCGAGAATGGCAGAGTGGGCTTCCCTCTAATCTCTCCTCAGTCTGGCAATCCTTTTTTTTATATTTCTCTTCATCTTTTTTTTTATTTGTCTCATTTTTTTGCAAGTGAGAAAACAAAATAAGAAAAAATAAACAATCGATTTTTTCGAAATATATCAAATTACATCGAATTACATCAAATAGTATCGCATAATATCGAAATATATCGGATTATATCGAATCACATCAAATAGTATCGCATAATATCGAAATATATCGATATATATCGAAATATATCGGATTATATCGAAATATATCGAAATCTATCGAGTTATATCGCAATATATCGGATTATGTCGAATTATATCGAATTATGTCTAATTATATCGAAATATATTGAATTATATCGATATCTATCGTTTTGTATCGAATTATATCGATATATCGCATTAGTTCGATATATCGAATTATATCGATTTATAGCATTACTTCGATATATCGAAATATCTCGATAAAACAATATCTAATTTTATCGATCTATTGCATTATTTCGATATATTGAATTATAACGAAATATATCAATATATCGATTCAACGATTTTTTTTTAGAAATATCGATGAATTACTTCGATATATTATTGAATTATATCAATGTATCGCATTACATTGATATATATCGAATTATATCGATGCAAAAATGTGATTTGTGTGATTTCATTAAAAAAAAAATTTTTGGTATTTCACGGATGCGCGGTGAAATTGTGATAATAGGTGAATTGTAACACGTGTTCCTGGTTCGTTAATCATCGAGTACAAGGCTCTACACATCGAGAATGTTTCTTCTATCGAGAGCGCGGTTGAATTCCACTCGTTCCTTTCCTATATATATATGTACACATATACAAATATACACATATATGAGGTGCAAATGAGTAGAAACTCAAAATTTTTGTGACTCGATAATTAAATCGCGTGAAAATTGAGTCGCGGCGACACTCTCTCATTGTCATTGTATTGATGAAAGCAAAATTCATTGTCTCACTGAAAAAAAATAATAATAATTTCATTTTCGCTTACAAATAGCAAATTTTGTATTTTAATAAATTTTTTTCGGTATAATATATCGAATTTTTATCGATATATCGGTTTGTCAAATTTATATTGATATATCGAGATATTTTCGAGATATATAGAATTATTTTCGCGATATATCGAATTAATATCGATACATCGAATTATTTTCGCGATATATCGAATTAATATCGATACATCAAATTATTTTCGAGATTTATCGAATCAATATCGATATATCGAGTTATGCTTGCGATATATCGAATTAATATCGATATATCGAGTTATTTTCGCGATATATCGAATTAATATCGATATGTCGATTTATTTTCGCGATATATTGAATTTGTATCGATTTATCGAGTTATTTTTACGATATATCGAATAATGTTTGCCATATTAAATTTTTTTTTTTAATATATCGTGTTTGAAAAATAATGATTTATCGCTCAAGTATTGTGTATTTGTATATAATAAATAATTTCTTGGTATAATGTCACGTTGACTAAAAAAAGAAAAAGAAAAAATCTTCCACCCTCAGAGGTCTACAATGACGTAATTTCCTGCTGTCTTTTGTGCGAGACATACTAATGAAATGAGACCTGCTTGCCGCTGTTATCTTTATATGGATTTATATTGTCAAGCAATCGAGACTGATTTTTAAATAAATTGTTTCCTATTAAAAATTTTTTTCTAATGATAAAAAAATTAATTTTTAAATTTTGTTTTTCCTTTTTTTTCATTTATAAAAATTTATTTATTTATATTTAAATATCACTCGTTATAAAAAGTACTTCAACAATTTTTTTAAATAAATTAATTAAAAGAAATAAATAAAAAAAATTTATCAAAAAATTCAACTGTAAGTGATTGTTTAATAAAATGAGAACACTTCACATAGTCAGGTGATTAATATTTTATTTTTTGTCACGTTTTTGCGTTTAACAGTTATTTTTTTTAATAAAAAAAAAGAAATAATTTTTTTTCATACATTTTTTCTGTTTTTTTTTTTTGTCATTGCAAAATTTACACAATCGTATTCGTTGATTATATAGTGCGCGTATATATACCTGTGTGGTATATATAATATTATTCATTCTTTTGAGAAACGCTTCAATTTGATAATTTTAATGTGTCTTGAGAAACCAGCGCACACGAGAAATTATTTTTTACATTCCAAACTTTATTTTTTTCTGTCTCTCATTTTCAAACATGTCACACACAGTATATATATATATAAAATGTAACCTCGGCATTTAAAAAAAAATTTTTAAATAAAAGCAAAAAATAATGCCATAAAATACTACTATCCTACAGTAATACTGTCCTTTATTACTACAGTATTACTGTATTAGAATACTACTATTACTGCCCTACAGTACTACTGTCTTAGAGTACTACTGTCATACAGTACTGCTGTCCTAGAGTACTACTATTCTTGAGTACTGCATTACTACTGTCGTTAAATACTACAGTACTACTATTATACTGTCCTACTGTAATTACTTAATACATTGTTATTTACTATATAGTAGTACTTAAACTGTGGGACAGCATTTCCTTCTAAGACAGCACTATTTATAAAAAATAAAAAAAAATGAAAAAATAAAAATAGAATCCAACTATTTTTGTTGACAAAAAAATTTTTAATTTACTTTTTTTCTTTTTTCATACTGTTTATATTTATTAATAATAGTGAAACTTGGCATACTTAAGCATATATATTTATTCAGCGTCAAGAGAGAGAGAG